ATAATGCAGAAAAATGCTCAGAGGATAAGGATAACTTGCCAAAAAGAAAACGCTCTCGGTTAATTAATAGTGTTTTCAGTGATGACGAAGAAAACATTGTTTAATTTATATTAATATGTATCACTTAAAAAATTTTAATGAAGATATTTATCTTAATTATTAAAATATACTAGCATGATTTTTAATTTTTGGAACCTAACCCTCTTTTTCGTATTAGTTCTTTGTTTCGTATAACACGGATTCGCATAACACGGCAATTTTTTGGAACGTAACTACCGTGTTATACGGGGGTTACCTGTATTTAGAAAAAAACAGCCCAAATTGTATACGGCCCATGTGGAATTTTCCACATGGCCAGTCCGCCCCTGTATCTGAAAGATATTTGTTTGATAAATGAATAACAGAATTGAACAAAATCAAATATTTTTTTGTAATATACCAAACAGAATCAAAGCTTTGGAATGATGACCTGAAGATGAGAATCAGTCAAGAACATTAATAAGGAATTTTCATGTAAGGAGTTTACTTTCTTGCAGCTTAGTAGTTTATAGAGATTCCCAAAATGTACATGTTCTGTAAACCCTTGAAGGGTAGCCAAAATTGTCATCTATAGCTATTATTATACAAAATAAAAATTATATAATTGATTAAACTATCTCTGGCTTAAGTATTTAATCATTAAGTAATAACTTATAGGCTACCTGTATAGCTTCATCCTTAAGGCAATATCATATTTTTAGACACATTAAGAATCAGCAATTTAACCTTTATTAAAATATACATCATAGAAAAATTTTATAAATTATCATATGACATTTTATACATATTCTTTTGTATTTTACTTATAAACAATTTTCCCAACATATATTTTTCTTGTTATAAATCTTCAGGATATAGATTCTTCTTAAATAATTTAGAAATGATAAACTTAAATGTTATTTCAGAAGTTTTAATTAAATATTTAAAACAACAGTGTTTTCAGTTTGATCAACTAGTTTCAAACTAGTTCATTTCTTTGACAACTGTAGATGATTGAGTGCATCTGCAAACATAAATTTAAATTTAAACACTTCTTTCAAAATGAGATTCGGAACAGGAAATT